ACAAAGACAGAGGAGGAATGATTGAAAACACAGGACAACCAGGAAGAGAGTGTCCTAGCTGCATTAATTAGAATGAGAAAGGGGAATGTGGAGAGTGACAGGTAGGTTCGGTGATAAAACTTGCTCGTTCTGGGCTGAATAAGTTAGTAGGCATCAGGGGCCATGGTTTGGGTCAAAAGAATGAATTACATGTTGGAAGCCTGGTCAGATTCAGGCTCTTCTAGGTTCGCCTCTTTGCCTTTTGGCCTCTGGAGGTCACTGAGCATTACAAAGGTCATGAGTCGCTCCCAAGTGTAGGGACATTTTTATGACATTAATATCTTAAGCATGGACCTTTGCTAACAATCGTATTTACAATTAACCATCTTGGTAACTTTCTTCTTGGTATTTATGATTGTTTTTTTTGTTTTTTTGCTTCCCTTCCCAGATTCCCTACATATTTTACTTGAAAGGAAAACAATAAATATTTCATTATTCATGGTCAGTTGAATTCCTTAAGTGCCAAGTCCTTTGTAAGAGCGCCTCTCTGGGTTGGAACTGACATGTGCGCCTCTCAGGAGAATGTGCTGGGCTTTAATGCGGGCTGGGAACGAGAGTGCTTGTTGTAGTTTGCACAGTGGGGGTCTAGAAGTCTGCCTGTTGAGGTCATACGAGCAGCCATCACAGGATAAATGCCAGCGAGGGCTCCTGGGTGCGCTGCGTGACTGGGCATTCGCCGCGGCTGGAATCCTGTGACGGCACACAGCACAATCCAGTGAACACAGGCCATACATTATTAATTGTTTTTACTGTGGAGGAAGATTGGAGGAAACATCCTCTGATGATCTCCTCACTGACTGAGTGGCACACGCTTTGTATCAAAGAAGTATTTCATTTTCACCTAGAAGTGCTTTACATCTGCAGCTCTCCCAGGCTTCCTCAAATAGAGGTGTGTGAACTTTCAGGCTTTCTGGCACTGACAAAAACTAATGCTGCTGTTTTTGTTGAGTTCTTTTGCATTTTACAGATTGGCTCCCATACTTTGTTCCTGTGTAATGGCACGCGTCCATACTTAATCTCTGTGCTGACTTAATGCTTTTCCAGGAAATGCTAATCGCACTTAATGTAAAAGTTTCACTGGAAGTTAAATTCAAAACAAGCAACACGGCTCTTCCCAATCTGTCTCGGCTGTTTGCGGTAATCCGTGTGAGCAGCATTTGCCAGGTGGACAGTGACAGGAGTGAAGGAGACAAATGCCATTATCCTGGTTCCTTTTTATGAGACGCTGTGATCTCTGGGTTTGGGGATTAAAGTTGCAACTAATGATTATTATAATTCTAGATGTCAGTTTGACCTCTTCATATGACTTTGTGAGATATTCCATTTAAAATGAATGTATTGCCTAATTTAAAACTAGAAACAGCCATTCCATTGTTTCATTTGAGGAGTGAAGCATTTTTGCTTTATAAATAACTTGGACCTATAACAGGTTCTTCTGCCACTTGAGGGCAGCGCTTTAAACAGCGAATTCTGTGCAGCGAATTAGTCGCTTCCCACAGGCTATGTGAAAGTGCGAATTAGAAATGTAACAATATATCGCGAGACGGTTAAATCACGATACAAGTATGTGAGATGAAAAATGAATCGTGATACTCTTTTTAAACAAGCAGTCACACCTTTCACATTACACATATGTCATTTGAGCAACTTTAAAGGATTCATTGATTATCAAAATTGTTTAGAATACATTTTCTATTGGATCAACTAATTGATTTATTGGCTAATCATAGCACTTCTGGGGATTCTCAAACTTCAGTTTGTACAGAACTAAAACGCTTTGACCACCAGCTGTTTCTATCTAATTCAAAGTTTCACAGTCAGAGGAGGGAGATTGCTTAAACAGGCTGGGACTGACGAAAATGAGCAAGGAGTTACACTGTGACATGTGTATATATTTATTTGTATCACCACATTGGTTGTTGAAATAACAAGGCTTTAAACTTTATTACTGTTTAGTTAATGGCTACGGCTAAGTGGTCATTAAGTAGATGTATCATCTTCATGAAATTTTAACAAAACTATCTCATGGTGAGAAATAAACCATTTGGTGTGCTGTCCGGTGTGATCACAATGTTTTCTGACCTTTGTCTCTTCCAAACAATGAGACATGAGTATTAGCTTACAGGCTTTAAGCGGGTATCATTGAAGGGTTACCCACAGGAAGACATTATGTAATCCCAAACTAGACACATTAAAACACAAGTTATGTCAAACACACTACATCCAACTGGTCTGCATCTTTCAGTGCTATCGGAGCTCAGCTGTATATAGTTTGGATAAATTCCTGTGGTGAAAGTCTGCGAGTATGGACATGTGCAGCGGGCTGATAAGCGAATAGAGCCAACGTCTGTGTTGCTTTGTTACACACTTGCGTCAACACATCTGAAGTGACCTTAAATGATAGCACAAAAGCAGCGGGCCGCGCTGGTGAATTTGTTTGTCAGGTTGAGCTCACAACCCCTTTAAAACATTAATTCTCATGGAGTCATGTTCAGTGTATCTTACCTTTGGAAGCACGTATGGAATTTAAAAGATGTTTGAAGTAACAACATGTTTACCTGACTGTACAATGTGAAATTAAACATTGATGGATTTGTACACAGATTAGTCTGTGGGCATTACATAAACAAAACTGGATGTGGAATATTGGCAAACACACCCAGTTTTGTGGCCATTAAAGTTATGTTTTTCTTGTCTATACAGTAAATTGAGATCATATTGCCCAGTCACTGTAGCTTCTGTGGATGCCAGTGTCGCATGCACACATACAGGTGGGAAAACCAGCAGAAACTGGACATGGTTTGAAAATCAAGGAGACCAAAGCCACGTGGGAGCCGAGGGACACAACAGGACAAAGTAGAGGAAATCCCCCGTAATAACTTATCACTTAAAGCTGCTCCCCAGCCCCAAAAAGATGTCTGCAGCATGAAGAATGGGATTGCTGTGAAACTGCTGACCTCCCTGCCACAGTTAGGAGGCAGTGAAGAATACTTGTGATGACGGTGTGGATCTTGACTGCACAGGGACTTTTCAGATTTAACATACTGTATTTACTGTCTCCTCACTAGCCAGAGTCTCTCTCTATATATCCATACTCTCTCACTCTTGCACCCCCTACAACGTCTGTAGTGCTTCTCCAGTACAAATTTCCCATAAAGCTAAATGAAGATACCAGTAAAGAAGTGAAGTATCTCAGAATTATTTCAGAAACGTGCAATTACATCTTTTTCAGTGGTCAAATCAGTGCACATTCAGACTTTTTTTTCTGATCCTCATTTTTCCTGATCTGTTATTATATGTCTGTGTGTGTTCGTGTGTGCATTTGTCTGCCCTGGAGGTTGCTTGGCTCTGGTGCGCTCCACTAAGTCTGCCAGGAGATCTCATGGACGCCTCAGTGGAGCAGACTCTTAAAAACACTGTTTACCCAAGGAGATTTATTTAAAGTTACAGAGCGGCACAGAGTCTCACTCTATATCCGTTTAGTTATATGTGTGTGTGTGTGTGTGTTACTCATGGTATTTACACATGTGACTACGCGTTGAGATGTTCTGAAAACAAGATGTGCAAATCGTGGATTGCCGTTAGTGTTTCCTAATCCTTTTTAACTGCATCATTTCATGGGACTATTTCTCCACAACTCATCCATCATAAACCGTGTGCTTTGTAGTTGTAACAGTTGTACTACATGTTCAAAAGTTCTCATTATCTTCCAGATTTCCCCCAGTGACAATGATCAGGTCACGCGTGTATTTGCATCCTGTACTCTCACGAAAGACTCACATGCGTGTCATCTGGATTCAATACGCTTTTCCCACTCTCTGTGGAGCGTTAATCAGACAATACTCGTCTTTGACTTATAAACAATAGGATTTATTTTTTTATGTCATGATGGTTAAACGATTTGTATTCAACATTCACATGCAGAGTCTAGTCTGAATGTCCAGGGATTAAGACAGCTCATGTGAATAGCGGATTAAGAGAGGGGGAATTCCTTTATCTCTGGTGGTGCCGTCGACTCTGATTGGTATTTCCAAGTGGCACAACTAGCAGCCAGTCGTCAAGAATGGTGGTCGGTCAGTCGGTATGTCTGGCAGTTCAACACGTTGGTCCACAGCAAGTTGTCACCGTTGAGTTTTGCTGTGGCTTTTCAAGTACCTCAGTGGAAGGATGTTACTGTTTTTGGTGATCCCCTCATCTTCCCCGTTTAGCTAGCATCCACACTCTTTTCACCCAAGAAATCTCTAAATTTGATCCTCAAATTTCTGTAAAAGTTTGAGAGCACATTCATGCTCTCCCAGAATATGAAGCCTTTCATTTTTTGGAAAAAAATTCAATTGGATACATTCCAATGGTCATCTGATCTTTTTTTTTTCACATGTATGTGTATATTGTTAGCCCCATTCCTGGTATGGCTTTCAAATGTCAAAATTTAAAGTTGCCGTTTGTTCCATGCAGCCTCTAGCAGCTACCAGCAGGCTTTTAGTGTTATTTTAGGATGAACTACTCTTTACGGACCTTTTAACTACTTTTGTCAGAGTCTTTGCAGTGGGCTGTTAAGTTGTTTATTGATTTATGTTGATTGCAAAAACCTTGACGTTGGACTCTGTTCCTGGCTACAATGCTTTTGGCATCAGAGCGTGTCTCTGACATTCTGCTGAGTAGATAATTGCTTTTCCCTACAATAAGATGACAGTTTGAAACATAACAAAAGATGTATGAACTCAAGAGGTATTTTGACAAGTGAAAACAGCTGGCTGATAACCAGGCCCATGGAACAATATAACCCTTCTCTTAGGTAATTTACACATAGCCTGTTTATACAGACAAAGACATGAAAACTTGGCATGTTAACTTTTGTGTGTTGCTTGGTTGTTTCTTGCAGCAATGCAACTCTGCATGTTTGTTGGCGTACATTTTGTTTTTTTAGTAAAAATCTGACTTTCTTGTGTTTTTCTGCACAGTACATCAAGATCCCAGCTCCCACACCAGAGTCACCTTCTGCTCTTCGTGTCTTCTCCTTCTACTTATCCAGCGACAGCAAAGACCAACCTCAAGCCAGCTTTGACTGCATCCATCAATATGTTTCAAGGTATGGGGTCAATCAGTTGAAGCTATTTTTATGTTCTTGCATTGAAGAGCAGTTCAAGTACTATTTGATTCATTTCTTTTATACATTTTAAACCAAACTCTACCTTTTTCCTGATTCAAGATCCTGTCCCAAGTTCCAGGGAAAACTATCCAGAAATCTTTTTTTCCACATAATCAGAAAAGGATTTTGGCAAATATTTACAGCAAAAAATGAATTGAAGTGAAGCTGAATTCAGTCAGTCAGAGCTATTTTAGGTGCAAGTTTTTTTTATACGCTGGTTGTGGCATATGTGACCCTGGACAATACCTTTCTGGCATCTCTACAGGTCATCAGTCTGTCAGCTCTCTGTGTGAGCCCACGTCTCTTGAGGGCATCGTGAGGGACGGTTAGCTCACTGCTTGCTGTATGCAGGATGGGGCAATTGTAATTTCCTGTGTATTTCTGGGCTGACCCTCTCATTACTGAGACCTGTGATGCCTTGTTTATGGAGTGGATATGCTTGGAAACTGAGGGTTGTGCTCTGTTGCTGCCTCCTGCTGCCAGATGGCTAACTGTGGTCTGAACTCAAACTCATTCTGGTTCCAGTCAGCTGCTGGAGCCAAGAGAAACAGCGTAACAGCGTGAGGGCAAGATCCTGCTCTCTCTGCCCCCGCATTTATTTTGATATTTAGAGGATAAAGAGGCGAAATGGTCACTGGCCACATGTGTAATTGTGTTGTGAAAATGAGAATGGGATCAAGGGAAAAGGCTCCTATTTTTCAAATCAAAAAAAAAAAAAAAGGGGTTTGGCATCACAGTAAATGCTTGATTTATTTAGAGCATTAATGCATCCCAGGTTCATGTATTAAAACTTTTTACTTTTGTCCAAGATGATCCCTGTTTTGCAAGCGTGCTGGCCGGAGCCAAGCTAATCCTGGTGGTTTTCCACAGGCTCTATCCTGCTTTGAACCAGGATATCTGGCTTTCTCACATGTAGCAGCCTGCAGAGCTATATCTAGCCTGTGACATAACATACAGTAACCATAGACCTGTCTTAGCCAGCTCCCACCACAAAGCCACTTCGTGCTGCATGGAGTCAATGTTGGTATGTTGCTCTAAGTTAGCTTATAGGATGTCTTTACAGTGTTGACTGTGTCCAGCAGAAAGCCCTGCGGTCCAATGCCTCTGTGTTTTTGTCTTGCAGTGACGGCCGTGAGCAGCTGGAAGGTCAAGGCATCATCCAGGACAAGATCACAGTGTGTGCCACCGACGACTCGTACCAGATGACCCGAGAGAGGATGTCTCAGGTGGAGAAGGACAGCTGGAGCCGCTCTGCCATTGAGATCAAACCTGGAGCCACACATCCAAGTAAGAATAGACGTGAGGTCTTTGTGGAGCAAAACCAGAGGATCAGAGGATGATACATGTGCAGATTTTCAAAGGGTGAGGCCAAACAGCTTTAGGCTTCTGATGGATCAGCAAATTGGATGGCATATAAAAACAAAAATAGAAATATAATAGCACCTATAAAAGTAATGGGAATATTTGCCTCACATGAGAAAATATTGCTGTATTCATTGCTTTAAGCAGAAAGCCAGATATTTTTCCTATTTTGATGTGTAATGAAACCAGATGTGCCGGCTTTATTTTGGGTTATACAAATAAGACTCTCTTGTTTCTCATATTTATTATTTTGTACCATTTTTTTTAGCTTTTGTTTGTGAGTTTGTTGTTCTGTCTTAATTAGTCTTTCCTCTTACATCTGTATTTGTTGGCCAAATAGAAGTTTTGTATTGGTGTAAGTCTGTCAGCATCTGTCTTTGAACCATCATTTCAGAGGTAGAAAGCCAATTCAAATATTCAAAATCAGGTTTTCTCTTTATAGTACTGAAAACTGAAGATGTAACTGTATAACTGTCTTACAAAGATAAGATATTAGCTTGATAGGGTATAACTATTTTTTTTCAGCAAATGACTTTTCTCTAACAAACTTGCAGAAATGGCTCACTGTTGTTGCAAATGTATCACAAGCCTCTGATAAATGGTTTTGCAACAAAACTCAATAGCATACATTCACAGGTGATGGGTTGTTACTGCATTTGAATTTTGACTGATTTTTTTCCAACAAATCTTGCAACATTGGCCAGAGTTGTGTGTCTGTGTTTGTGTGTGCACGCTCTCAGATATTAATCATCAAGGAGAGCTTACAGCATATTAATCAAACGAGAAGAGACATGAACTGGCAAGCTACTTTCTTTTTTCTTTTCTCCTTTTTCTCTTCACCAACCTTTGCCGTGGTTATGCAATATTGTTTCTTGGCATGATTCTGGACCCCTGTGTCAGTGCTGGAGCCCCAGGGAAGCTGAAACTCCGGGTGGTTTAGACCAAATTTAGACTGTGTGGATTGTGCAACATCAGGTCTTCAGGTGGAGATGACTTAGCAACATATATGCCTGTAGGGAAACATTTAATATCTGCACTCTATATTCCCCTCTCAGCCTCAGGGGGTGCTCATGAACAGTGCATATTATCAGGCATGCCAAAACCCTATCAAGCATGATTCTGACACTCCATACTTCCTAACCCTAACTGTTACGAAATCCTGTGCATTGTTATCATGATTAATGGCTGCTAGAAGAGTAATGATAATGCATAGAGTTATTATCATTTGGCAGGACATGCTTTTGTGGTTGAAAGGAAAGCCTTCTTTCACTGTAGCTCTACCCCACTCTGACCTTCAAAGAGCAGATTAACCTGTAATGGGATTAGCACAGAGAGATGGCTTTCTCTGCTCCAACATGCCCCATCTGTCTGCAGCAGAGATGTAAGCAATGAACTATGGGGTGTTTACATGTGAAGACAAATAGCTGCAGGCCAGCATGTACATGCGATCTAGAGGTAAAGGTTAGTAGAAGATATTTTAATGAATGTTTCCCCATTACTCAACCAATTGTCAAGATGCAACCCAGAGAGTTTGTACACATGTTGAATAGGTAAAATGAGTGGTGAGAGAGTCTGCCTTTAACTCTTGTCGCATGAAGTTTCCTTTTTTTATGCTTGCACAAGACATTTCACTCCGTTCCTGTTGTAAATTTTCCTCGCACAGAGTTTCAATGTCAGTAAATTTCTCAGATTTGATTTTTTTGTTTTTGTTTTGAATTTTCCGTTGCCGAATCGCCAACATTCATGGCGATTTCTCACCATGGAATGTATGGAAATCTCTTGATCTCCTTTATTTGAAGGATCGTACAGATGCCCTGTAGAGGCGCACATTGCCGCTCGGAAAGCGAGGCAAAGTGCGATGCGGGCAAAATCCTGGGCACGCCACTGAGATCTAAACCGCCATTTTGATATCGACCAGTGTCGCGCGACCAGGTCCGCAAACGGGCGAGCAATACTGAGGGCCGTTTACTGCAGACCTTATTTAAAAGAATAATGTGTTTTTTCCGTTTTGGGTGGTTGGGCTAGATGTGTAAATATCAAGATGGAACGAAAAGGAAAAATAAAACTGGTATTGACTGGATTTAGTATTGAGTTCACATTTGTGTTTCATTATCCTGTTTTTTGTATGTTCTCTTATCTTTGCTGTGACTAGCTCTTACTTGTTAGACGTGTCTAGAGTAATAATCTATGGCGTGAAGGGATGCGACTCAGAAGAGGCCAGTATCCTCTGTCTAGCGGTCCAGACAGCGATTCTCCTGGCACGCAGTGTGGCAATTGATTCTGTAACAATCGAGATAGCAACTCGATGTCGTAATATGCCACACTGGCGCCAGTGAAGCCACTAGAGGCCAGTGCGTCATTCAATCCATGCTTTGCTAGCTACTCAAAAACTCGTATCGGAAGGAGTTATCTCGGGACCATAGCTGCTGCTTTGTGGCTTTGGTACAAGGAGGAGATATATGTAAGAAGGGCCAGCCCCAAGTGACTAATGCGGCCGGAGCTGGGCGGAACACATGGTAGCTGTTATGGAGAGGTTTGTTAGGCGCAAGAAAGTATTATAGTGGCTTAGTGTAAGTAGTGTGGTGCATGTCTTGTCTTGGTGTCACTATTCTATGTTAATATAATACTACTTTCATTTGTGGGTGTAGACCAGTATATATCATCATACTTGACCTTAGGTACTTATATTCTCCTAGTTATACAAGTGATACTATTGCTGTTGTTGTGTGAGTGTATGCCTGAGCATCACTGACTCTTTTTAAGCAATATATATGAGTCTGTTTGGTTCTCTCTGGAATTATTATGTGGCACATATGCACACAATAGGATATTTCTATACGACTGTGCTTGCGGCGGACCTATTTCCAGTGTAAAAACCCAACTAAGCACTTGATTGTGTTATTTCCGGTAGTACATTCAATATCAATATATGGATGTATACACTAGACACAGGCAACGCTTGATCCAATTTCTCATAATTTGGGATGATAGATGGAAATCTGCATTTACTTCTAGTACATATGTAGGCAAAATCAATCGTACCACAAAGTTTCACACCACCCATTTACACATGTCCTTTCATGCACTAAA